GGTACCCAAGTATAAACTAATTTACATTCTTGGTAGTTCATGTACTTCATATTATGACTATGTTTGGTAAAACTAGCTGATAAGTTAGCTTATAGCTTATATATAATTTTTGAGCTTATAGCTTATAGCTTATGACTTATAGCTGAAAATCTAGTTTATATGATAAAAGATGTTTGGTAAATTAGCTGATAAGCTAGCTGAAATAAAAAATTCAACTAGCTTATTTGAAAAGCTACCTAAAGTAACTTATGAAATAAGCTCGAGCTTTTACCAAACGAGGCTTATTTCAATACATGGAGCTTATAAACTAACCAAATAAGCTATAAGCTAGCTTATTTGGCTTACCAAACATACCTTATAACTTAATTAATTTCGACGTCTAACATTTGATCCGTTAATAATTTCGATGCAAATTGTTAATTTTTTTCTTTATTTGATGGGAACCATTACAATTAACTAGTTTTCATTTGAAATATTATATGTTATATATATATATATATATATATATGTATAATATTTTAAATTATAATATTTTAAATTAAGTTAGATAATGAGTACATCACGTTTAAAAATTTAGTCATAGTAAAAATAAAAATAATAAAATATAAATATAATCTACATAAATTACATATGAGTTACTATATTAATGGCATAAAATATAAATAATAACAAAACTTGTAGTTTCAAGGAATCACGATCAAGTAACTAAAAAAGGCTTCCGAGGGCGACCATCGATGGGCTTGAGAAGAAGTGTCGGGCCTTCCTCTGGGGAGGTACAGAGGATCATAGGAAGGTTCATTTAGTGGCGTGGAAGGATATTTGTAAACCTAAGCCCGAGGGGGGTCTGGGACTCTGGGATCTTCGGTGTATGAATGATGCTTTTTTAATGAAGGTAGGTTGGGGCTTAATCACGGAACCAGATGCTCTATGGGCTCGAGTTTTGTTGGCGAAATATGGCCTGAATTTCTCGACGAGCCTAGAGCTTGTTCACGGGCGACAGGGATCGCACCTCATGCGTGCACTTCACACCGTTTGGCCACATATCCGGCGCGGTATACGGTGGTGTCTGGAGAATGGGGAAAGGGCGCGTTTTTGGCTAGACTCGTGGCTTGATTCTAGTGGCCCACTCACCCGTTTCGCTCGCTCTCAGACTCATTTGATCGACATCCATGCTGTGGTGGCGGATTTGGTTGATAGTGATGGCAGCTGGAATTGGCAGTACCTCCACGACCTCCTTCCATCGTCGGTGATAGTTCGGCTTGCTGGTACTTTACCTCCCCGCGCAGCTGCTGGTGCAGACCGCATAACTTGGGGGCTGTCTGACGATGGCCGATTTTCGACGAAGACAGCGTATCAAGCCCTTTCGAACCCTGAGCGTGACCCTGACAAGCCTCTGTGGCAGGCTATCTGGAAAGCGCCAACTCCTCAACGCGCCCGGTCTTTTCTGTGGCTGGCCGCAAAAGATCGGCTCCTCACAAATGTTGATCGTTTCCGCAGGCATCTAACGGCAGTGGCCGAGTGTGACCTCTGTGGGGAGCTGGAAACCGTCATCCATGTTCTTCGGGACTGTCCATCTACTCGGACTTTGTGGCAGCAATTGGTACCGGCGAACCACGTACATAATTTTTTCGGGGTGCCTCTCAAACAATGGCTGCGACTGAACTTATCTCCGGCATGTGGGGGATGAGGCGCACAATGGAGTACCAGGTTTGCAATTACGGCTTGGCATGCGTGGTTATGGCGCAATGATCGAATTTTTAAGAACACGTCGTGCGGTGTAGAGGCACGGCGGCTGGAGGTGCTGCGGATGTCCGAGTGTTACATGCGGGCGGTGGCGACTTATGTTCGTGTTGGAGCGGCTGTTCATGTGACGCGTATGATCCGATGGGCTCCTCCGAACGTAGGTTGGATTAAAATCAATACCAATGGGGCCGTGTTTAGTGATACTGGCTTGAGTAGCGCCGGGGGTTTACTCCGGGATGAGGTTGGTCGATGGCTTGTGGGTTTTCTGTTCAACATTGGGTCTTGCACTATTACGTGCGCTGAGCTATGGGGCCTGTTTCAGGGATTGTGGTTGGCCTGGGAGAGGGGGTATCGGCATGCTGTTGCTGAGACTGATAGCCTTTGTGTGAAAAACATGGTGTGCGGCTCTGATGATGTTTTGGGGCCACATGCAGCTCTAGTTCGAGCTATCCGCGAGCTTCTACATCGGGATTGGTATGTTCAGATCATCCACGTTTACAGGGAAGTGAATTTCGCCGCTGATCATTTGGCGAATCTGGCGGCATCTTACCCGCCTGGTTTGCATTGCTTGGAGTCCCCTCGAAGGGTTTAGGTGCTTGGCTCGATCATGACAGTGCTGGGGTGTCGTATCCCCGCCAAGTCCTAGCTTAGGACTTTTGTCCACCTTTATTGTACCCAAAAAAAAAATATATATATATTAAATTTACTTTTATTATTGTTATCAAAAAAATTATGAGACTTAACGGTTTGATTATTCACAAAAATTAATTAGCTAACTATAAAGAAAAATCGCTTAATAAGATAAAAAAAAAATAGTATCGATTGTAGAATGAAGAAAATGTATTAGAATAGATGTTTTTCTATAAGTATGTAACTTTATCATTTAGTGAGAAGTTATAATTAGCTAGTATTAGTAGTAACCATTACATAATAAAATGTTAACAAATATTATTACAGTCAATTAATGAAAAATGTAATAGTTTTCTTCTGCAACTAATTGGAACACAATTAGTTGAGCATCCTGAATATATTGTCAGAATATTCAATATTCTGACAATATATTCAGGATGCTCAATATATTCCAATATATTCAGTATCAATAGTTTTCTATTGATACTTGCTGATTCTTCCGATGGTCATGGAATATAATTGTCACCCATAGAACACAAGATTCAGGATGCTCAATATATTCCATGACCATCGGAAGAATCAGCAAGTATCAAAACAACAATAAGAAAAACAAGGAAAAAGAAAAAAGAGAGCTTAAGTTATATGTAAACAATTCATGAACAAACGAAAACGACGAGCAAATTACTCATAGCAGCTGTAAAGCAAACAACCAAATCAGAAGCTTCAATTTCTTGTCCCCATAAGGCAGATGATAGAAACACAAACCAAGAAATGATCTATCAAAACCACAAGTTACTCAAACTAATTAAATTATAAAGAAGCATCTCAAGTACTTAAATTAATCAGTCAAGAAAGACTTCACCCTCTCCATTTTAGTCGAAAGCGAATCTGTTGATCCACATTGTTCGGCAACCCCGATTCAGATATATTCGCTCCTTGTAAAGGACGCCATTTCTTTCCATGCTCTTCACGAGCCTCCACGCTTACTTCCTCTAAATCCTGCCCCCAATAGTAATTCTCCCTTTCATTCTCCATCAAAAAAATATCACACAAAAGATCAACGAGTCCATTGACTCCTCCATACTTTATAGTCACCGGAACTGTAACCGGAGGTCCATACACTTGAGCCATTAATTCATCAATGGTGTCTGGTTGTTCTTCATACACTTCAGTCTCTGAAACGGCATACACAGACTGTTCTAAATATCTCGGCCGGAAATTACCAAAAAAATAATTAAAAAAAGCCTTGAGGAAAAAATAAAACGAGCTCTTCTCTACAGTCAAGCTCTCGATCACGGGACGTTCTCCAAGACCCTCATGACTGAATGCGAAATCCTGAGTAAAATCACTCACGTGCATAGAAATCCGAGAATGTCCCAATGCCCTGTGCAGTTCATGTAACTTGTCAAACATCGATGCAGCTTCATTATCATTATTGGGAATAAGAGAATACATCAAGTGAATATCTGATCTCCACTCGCTGGAATCTGTTGACAACGAGATTGACGGGAAAAAATTGCAATGCAAGTCGAGACAAAGTATATTTGGGAGGTCAAGAACTGCCTTGGTGGGCCCATCCACTGTAAAAAAAACTCGTTTAATCGAGCGGCTCGATAGCTGGAACTCTTCAAGGACACTGCAAGAGTGCATTTCCAAATCCTCAAGACAGCATAGGTCAACCGAGCACGTATCAAAAAACTTCTTGTCGAGGACGACATACTCGAGATAAACGGACTTCAGATGAAGGAAGGACTTACCGAGGTAAAGCCATCTCAATCCACCCACAATACGGATGCTCTCTAAACTCAGTGCATCAATGTCTATGACGACATGGTTATCACCACGAAAATAATTGTATTCAAAGTGCTTTAGATTACTATAATGAGCCTTAATGGTTGTGAAACTGTCACAGCTATAAAGGACCACGCGTTCCAGCAAGGGGCAGCCCGACATTATCTGACGCAAAGCTTCATCTCCGATATCTACCATGACGAGCGATAAAATATGTAATTTCTTGGAAAGCAACTTGTCTGGATAAGTAATTCGGCAACGCTCAAGATGCAGTTCCTCAAGGGATTTGGCTTCAAAGATGACAGATGGGATATCAAAGTAGTTAGAAAAGGATTCAAGATGAAACCTTTTTACGCCCATATTTAGCATGAGTATGGGGATCCATTTTTCAAGCAGGGAAATGAATTTAGGATCAAACCATAACATTTCGACAACAAAATCCTGTACGGAAATCCCACGGTCATGGTAACCTTGTAGCGTCTTGTTCAAAACAAACAAGAACTTGTCCTCATCCCTTTTGAAGAAGACATCCTCATCCCATATGTTGCGGTCATGGCGAAAGTCGATCTTGGGGCGAGTGCAGCCAATATCGCGCCATGATTTGGATAGAGCGCAAGTTTGGACGGCGTGCTCTTGGGGAAGGAAACAGAGTATATGGTGCAAAATGGGTTTTGGCAACTCGGATAATCTGTCGCATGTGGACTTCATTATTTCCCCTGGATGATCTTCCATGGCCGATGAATTGATCTTTTTCGAATCTTGAATTTGAACCCTAGCCCTTTGTGCAGAGCAACTGATGCAGACCCTAGTAAGATATTGTCCGCTTTGGGCTACTTCCGCCACCCGCACGGCTTTGTTCTTGGCTGGGCTTCAATACACACCCACCAAAACGCGTCTTACTAGTGAAGGTATCTACATCCTCATATAAGGCCTGCTTCGTTTCCTTTCAAACCCGATGTGGGATGAGCTGCATCATCCACCCCCTTGTGGGCCCAGCGGTCACCGCTGGCACATGGGCTGGCTCTGATACCAACTGATGCAGACCCTAGTAAGATATTGTCCGCTTTGGGCTACTTCCGCCACCCGCACGGCTTTGTTCTTGGCTGGGTTTCAATACACACCCACCAAAACGCGTCTTACTAGTGAAGGTATCCACATTCTCATATAAGGCCTGCTTCGTTTCCTTTCAAACCCGATATGGGATGCGCTGCATCAGCAACCCTAGAGTTACGCCAAGAATGATGAATTCCAAAAAAATATAGGAAAAATTCATAATAAGACCCAATTTTTTCAAAATGCATCTGAATTTTATTTTTTTATTAATAAAAGGTTTACATTTTAGCCTTTAGGTGTTTATTTTTTTTATTTAACTTCTCCCAGTAAAGTCAATTATTTTTATTTTTTGACATAAATATATGAAGCATAATATTATTTCTTATAATCTCTATTTGATATATTTATATAAAAAATATTAACTATATTTTACAATTTTACTTAATTGGAGAGATCAAACAATATATATTATATTTACGCAAAAATTTAATAAATTTTATTTACAAAAAAAAAAAATAGATAAGAGAATTTAAGAATATTTAATTTGAATATTATTTTGATTAATAATCTAAATATATAATAAATTATCAATTAATTTTTTTTTACAATCTTAGGGTATTATTTGAGATTTCAATTTAAAAAAAAAAAACGGCGTGGAAAAGCAGTGCGTCTGGCTGTACCGTAACTCCCACGTATAATACCATGAAAAAAGGAGACAAATCTTCCTTGAACTCTTTATTTCCAAATTTAAATATGAATTTTTATGGCTATAAATTACTTGGGGAGAAATCTACAATATTGTAACATAAATATAACCTAGGGTTTTAGCTAGAGGTGGTTGTTATTTATCCCCAAAGTCTCTTATAACCCTGTTGACAACGATTACCAGACATGAAGAAGCCGAGCCCAAACCTCAAGCTCCTCGAAGAATGCTTCGAAGGCAGCAAACAACAGTTCCTGTCCTTTGTCGACAAGACTCTACAAGGCTACCATGATCACAACCTCTGCATACAAGAACTCGTCCTCCGGATATCCACATTCGATCCCGACTCTGTTTTGCTCCTCGAGAAGTGGATTCCGGCTGCCGTGCAGACTATGGGCGTGCGCAAGCTCGGCCTCACGTGCAAATCGGCACTCTTTGATCTCCCGCCGGACGTTTTCCAAGCTGGGCCGATCACGTTCCTTACAGAATTGTACCTCGAGAGGTGCAGGTTAAGCCGAATTAGCTCCACTGCCGCCAAGGTACAACCGTTGAAGCAACTGCAGAGACTTTCCCTCAAGAGGGTCCGCCTCACGGACGAGACGCTCGACAGTATAACCGCGACCTGCCCAATGATCGACCACTTGTCCCTCGACGAATGCGAGGGCTTGGGGGACAACATCAGGGTGAGCAACCTTAGCAAACTAAAGGACTTCACTTTCACAGACCTGCGTAGAAAAGCTGGGAGGCCCTCAATCGAAATCGACGCCCCACGAGCCGAGACAATCAAAATTTGGGGCTTTTCCAGCTGGTCCCACCACAACAAATCCTTCCCCAATCTCAAATCCCTACACCTGTTCAGAGTCCACCTGTCAGAAAGCTCGTTCGAGGCGTTCTCATGCGGGCTCCCCTGTCTCGAGCTGCTCAACCTCATTCTCTGCCATGGATTGGAGGAATTCCAGCTGTCAAGCGGGTCGATCAAGGACCTTGTCATTAAGGTCGCGGGCCCCATCCGGGCGGGCCGTGTGGACGCCCCGAATATAAGCAGTTTGACGTTCTCGAGCAACTTCGTACCGGCAATCTCTTTCTCGACGGCCTCCGGCCGCGAGTGGGAGTCACGCGTGATCCTCACGTCCCCCTGTGTGGATTTCCGGTACAAGGACCCGTGGCAGTGGTTCCTCAAACTGCACGAGCTTCTCCGAGCCTTGAGCGGCTCACGAGTTTCGCTGAGCATCGAGGAGTTCCCGGTGGTGGGCCCGGTCGGCAACCGCGGGGGCTTTGTGGCGCCGGTGGCGATCGAGAGCCTGAGCGTATTGGGAGGCTCGTGTTACTCGATCCAGGGTTTTCTGAACTGCTTGTTTCGCGTGGTGCGGCCGAGAAACGTTGTCCAGCCGTGGATTGCGGGCGGCGCGGAAGGTGATTGGAGGATTAGGGAAGCCAATCGGCTGACGGAGTTCATGGGCAGGAGCCTCGCGCGCCGGAATCTGGTGGATGTGAGCGTGGAAGCTTGGGACGAGCGTGGGAATGAATGGAGCCAGGCGGGAGGAAGAAGGTCGGAGGGATTTGAGCTGCCCATAAATGGAGGTAATTGGAAGATTCGGTTTCGATTGAAGTGGAGAGAGATGAGCTATCTGCGTCGCCTCCTGATAATTGGAGACGAAAGTTTTGTGTATGAGCCCTAATTTTGGTTTATTGGATACCTTTTTCCAGAAATTCTATGGCGCCACGTTAATAATCACACATCATGTTGTGACACCAATCATAATGTGTCACATCATGTTGTAGCATCATATACCATAATATGGTGCTATATGTAGTGCCATAGAATTCTGTACATTTTTCCCCAATTGTGAGAGAGATTTTTTTTTTTTCTTTTTATGCCTTTTTATTTTGATCTATTAACATAGAGAAAATTACAAATATAGTTCGACCAAACTGGACATATTGCAAATTTTGACCCAAAAGATTACAAAAGTGATCCATTATATTGCAATTTTGGCCCCATCATTAGTCACACACCGTTCGTTACTAATTTCGGAACTTTATTTAAAAAAATTATTAATTTAATAATTAATTCACCAAGTTGTATTTTGATATTTGAGTCTTACACTTTATTATAAATTTTGAATTTATTATTATGGGTCAAAATCTTTTTCACCCTATTATATATCTATTCTTTCTTTTTCACACCACCCCGTCAAATAACTTCTTTTACACCCCAAAATTCACGAAATGCTATGTGATATTGCACTCGCATGTCCAAAATGAAGCAGCACATATCCAATCGGCCGCATAATTTCTGACTATGCGTAAACATTTCGCGTTTATTTAATCGTATATCCACATCAAAACGCATAATTTACAAATCTGCGAACATCTT